GGACATGCATTTCTTTCAGAACCAGCGGCAGCCTGGCTGTGTGCGCCAGTGGCTGGGAGATTGGGGCAGAGCAGCGGTTGTCCTGCCTGAGGGCTCCTGCGGGCGGCTGGTTGGCCCCTGTGTGGACAGAATGTGGGACTGGATGCGCCGCCCATCCAATCCGGCCTGCCTTTTCTTATGCCCTCCGTCCCAGCTTCAAGAGCGGCCTCCCCAGGCACAGCTGGGAAAGCTGCTGCTGTCAGGCCATGTCTGCCCTTCCTGTCTCCTGAAATCGCTTCCTCGGTGCGGTTGTGGCCATTTTTGCCACGCTCCGAGAGAGGTGAGCATCATATTGCAACAGGCAGGGTGCGGGGAGGAGTTGGTGGCAGTGGCTGATGCTCAGAGACTGCCTTGCACGCTGCCCCCTGCCTGGAATACCTGGTTTGCCCAGGCTGCCCTCAAAGCCTCCTGGAGTCCTCCGTGCAGATTTAGCACGCTCATTTCCATGTGTCTCCACGAAAGCCCTCATGCGTCCTTTCCCAGATTGGCTCCCTCTGAATTGGTTGGACTGCAACTCCCATCATTCCCTGTGGACATGCTGGGGATGATGGATATTGCAGTCCAGCACTTCCGGGGCATACCCAGTTGGGGAAGTTTGCTCTGGAGGTATATGCTGTGATAGACAGGAAAGTGCTTTGGCGGCTCTTGTGCTCAATTGCAGAATGGATTCTGTGTGGGGGACATAAAGGGGGCCCTGCTGGGGAAGCCCCGCCGGCGGCCCCATCTGACTGTGGCCAGGCAGACGCTTCTAGGGTCAACCAGGACACGAGGGCGAGAGAGCTTTCGTGCTGCCTCTCCTGGTGGAGCCCAGAATCTGAGCATGGAACTTCCGCTCTGCACTCTGCCATAGGCACAGATCTCTCCTCTGGGCACCTCTGAATTCTCCTTCTTTCCGACCCATCCAGCCTCGGCTCCACTTCTGCATCCTCCTCTCCATGAAGTGCTTTGCAAGGTCTGACTTGGTGGTCCACTGGTCTGACTGGGAAAAGAGTCTTTCCCACTTTCTCCACGATGCCACGTTTATAGCCCATCCGTGTCCCCCGCCTGAGCCCCCTCGTCACCTTATTTCTCCCTTTAAACATGACACAAGATGAATAGCCATCGTTTGGAAAAGCAGGCCAGGACTCTGGTCTGCTCAGGAACACCGCAAGCGCGGCTGGACGGCTCTCTCTTGTCCGTGCACGCACACAGCTTCCTTGAGCTCAGCGACCTAGAAAAGGTGGAGACGGCGCTACTGACTGATCGCGCCGACGTCTCTCTTTAGCATCAATTCGGCACAGTGCTTATCGGGAGCAGCCGAACACGATTGCCTGTTGGGCTAGGGACATAAGAATCCAGTAACGCCAGCCCGTCTCTGCAAAAAGCGCTCCTCGCGAAAGAATTGGAGCGCATTGAGTGGTCCGTGGTGATTTAACTCTCCGGATCCTGACAGGTGGGTGTCCGTTGCCCGCCGTGTGGAACGGGGGAGGTGGTGCGTCTCCCATGACAAGCTCTGCCAGGTGGGATTGCTCTGAGGAGTAGCCCCCAGGGGCCGCCCCCACTGCTGACTGACACGAGCTGTCAGATCATTCGTGGCATCGCGCATGGCTGGAGCGCGTGCTTTTCTCCCGTCCGTGAGCGCTGGAGCCAGGGCCGCGTGGAATCCGCCCGCACGTTACACCTGGGACGCGGGGTTGAGGGAATGGGTAATGGAGCTCTCGACCCGGGGAGAGTAACAAGGAAACAGGAATTTCCGCTGTCTTCCATGGCAGACAAATATCGATCGAGGAAGGAATAGCCGGGTCTGATGCAGGCGGACACGCCAACTCAACTTCAGAGGCATTTGGGTCGCAGCTCCCCGGATTCCCACCCAGCAGGGCCACAGACCGGGAATCCTGGGTGTCGCAGGCCAAGTGTGTCTGGAAGGCACAGGACTGGGGAAGGCTGCTTTAACCACTGTGCTGCATGGGAGACTCTGGAGATGTGGGAGATGCGGGTTCGAATCCCAACACAGCTTGGGACTGCCACACCTGTTGGAGCGCCTCTGTCAACCCCATTCTGCCCAGACACGACACTCGGCTTCCGGGGCCTTCCCCCAGGTGCCGGCTGCGCAAGAGGCTTGGAGGGAGCAACTAGTGGGATGGGTGGCCCCCCCATCTTGGAATAACCTCCCTGTGGTGGCCTGCCTGGCACCAAAACTGCCATCTTTGTGGCACCAGGCCAAGGCAGCTGTCTCTGCGGAGGCCTTTAACATCTCCCTGGTCTTGAGTCAAGTCCCTTTTATTCTTGGCCAGGTCTTTGTAATTGTCTTTTGCACTGTTTTTTACAGTTGTAATGTTCATATGCTATTTTAAATTAATTTTTAACTTTTGGTAATTATTTTCATCTATTGTACATTTTTGCTTTCATACCTTTTGTAAACCACCCAGAGAGCTTTGACTGTAGGTCATATAGGTGTGAATAATTGTAATAGTAATATTATTATTATTATTATAACATTTCTATGCCGCCCCTTGCCAAAGCCTCGGGGCGGCTTACAACACAATAAGATACACTGAAATACAATAGAACATAATAAATTACCACTAAATACAAAAAAACAAAAAAATACACTGAGATACAATAATATAAAATTAAAATTAACAGTATAAAATAAGTAAATAAAGAATATAGGAGGAGAAAAGAGAAGGAAGAAGAAGTTGCCCTGGCCAGATCATATATTTTAACAATTAAAATGATGTTTAAATAAAAAGGTCTTTACCTGGTGCCGAAAAACCAGTAACGACGGTGCCAGGCGGACCAATAGTCCCCTGTAACTGGGGTGCTGTTTTAATGCATTTTTTGTACTGATTTGTGGTTACATTCTTCTGTTGTATTTTACTGATCTACGACTGAAATAAAGTCACTCATCCATAGCCCCCATCTGGCCATGCAGCTCTCCGGTGACTCTTGATGGTGGACTCTTAGCTGAACCTTCCTCACAAGGCTGTTGCGAGGATAAAAATGGAGATCCACCTGAGGTTCCTCATAAAGGTGGAATATAACTTTCGTTAGCATGAATGAATGAATGAATGAATGAGCGGAAAAGCACATTTAATGCCATAACCCTACAATTCCCAGCATGCTGGCTTGCAGGGGATGCTGGTACTTGTAGGACCTTTTTCCTGTCGACGCTTGCCTGGAGTGAGTTCTTTCTTTGCTAATTGTCTGAGTGAATATATTGCTTTCCATGGAGTTACCTAACCAATGAACGTGCAGCATCATTGCAGCCAAAAACAGATGACAATAAAACTGTACGATAATAGATAAATATTAATCAGAAATAAAAACATAGAAGCTGGTATGGTATGGGCCCAAGTTGGCCGGGTCACACTTCTGGGAATTCCTGTGTGAAGCGCTGGAGTTCAAGAAGGCAACTAAAGATCAATTTATGCTAGTTATGGGAGAAATGCCAACGGTAGCATAAGGGTAAGTATAAAACCCGATTATGCTAATAAATTAGCAGATTATATTTAGAATTAAGAAAGCCAGGCACAGTTGGAACAGAATCACTGAGAACTGGTAACCTTCTGGGCTGTTGGAATTGCAAGACTCTCCCACGGGCAAAGAATAGATAGTCGTGTGTTTACTTTGTTATGAATTTAGCTACTGTATATATTCTGATAGCAGCCTGGTTTTGCATATAGTTAATTGTACTTGCACACATACAGCTAAATGCATCTCATCTGAATAGTTACAAATGTTTTAGCATGGAGAAAGTATTCCACTAGTGCCATATTTACAACAGCAGTTGTTTTATTGCTTTAATTGCATGTTTTTATTTTATCTCTGGGGAAATCTGGGGAGCAAAGGGTGCTCCTGTCAGTGTACTCATGGGCAGGGCAGGTGTGAGGGTGGGGGATCCAAGTGTCAGCGAAGGAGGGGAGGGGCTAGATGCCCCTCTGTTCCCCCCTTCTGGTTATTCCCCGAGCTGGATGATGTCCCATCCTGCCCTCAGGCCTGTTGCTGCCGCCGCCGCCGCCGCTGCTGCAGAACAACGCCAGGTCAGCCCAGAATGAAGCACGCCTCATCCCTGATTTAATTGCGGAAGAGGCGGCTGCCCTGGCGGGCACCACAGAGACCAGGTGAGGGAGGGCGAAGGTGTTGCCCCTCCCTGCCTCGTATTCGCTGCTGCACCAGCTATTCCTGGAATCTCAGGTGGCTGCCGTGGCAAGGATGTCCATCAGTGACGTCCTTACCTGGACGGGCAGACCAATCAGTGGCAATCCATGCTCTGGTAACCTCCCACTTGGCATTGCAGGTCTCTGCGTGTGGGTCTGGATATTTCAGTGGGTACAGAAGAGAGCAGCTAGACTGCTTCCTGGGGCTGGGAGGCAAGATCATATAACACCAGTCTTTACCTTCTGCATTGGTTATTGATGGAAGTCCGGACCTGATTTAAGGTGATAACACTGACGTTCAAAGCCTTACATGGTTTAGGGCCTGGGTACCCAAAGGAACATTTCTTTCCATATATACCTGCCCAACCCTTTAGATCATCTGCCGAGGTCCTTCTGTGGGAGCCTTCTTTGAAAGAGGCTGGAAGAGGAGCTGGTTGGAGCAGGGCCTTCTTAGTGGAAGCTCCCCAGACTATGAAATCTGCTCTTCATAGAGGTACATCTCGTGCTGACGCTTTATTCATTTTGGCACCAGGCCAAGCCTTTTCTATTTGCCCAGTATTTCAATGGCTTCTGCTGTGGGTCCTGCGGCTTTGTTCCATTTTTACGTAAGCTGTGTAGGGATCATGACTGAATATAAGATGGGATACAGGTGTTTTAAATAAATGTGTGATGTGTGAGGAATCTGCTTTGTCATCCTTTTATCAAAAGGATTCTGCGAACAGTGAACTGCAGATGTAAAGTGCATGGGCTTAGAACGATGTGGCCCGTGCCGTGATGGTTTTCGGCTAAGTACCTTGGTCTTCTGTTTATACTCTCTTCCAGATTAGCAAATTATGTGGCCCTTCCCAGCAGAGGCAGTATCGGTCGGCTTCGTATCCCGAAGAACTTTTCGTCGACAAAAGGATGGTGAGGGTTGCCCATGTGGAGCACGAGGAAACTTTGGCTAGCAGGAGGAGGTGAGAGGGCCAGTTGTGTTTTCTCAGGAGTGTCCCCGAAATTCATGCTTCAGGTGTGTGTCATCAGCGTGTTAGTTTTCATTCTCGAAACCCCTTGCACATGCACGGCACACTCTGTGGCTCTCTCGGACTCTTGTGATCTTACACACCCGCTCATATAATTCTGACATGCAGAGGAGCACACTGTTGCTTGGGTACCGAAATAATCACTACTCATGTGGGATAAGACGGGATCTGCCTTCTCAAGAGGATTGCAAACTTTGCGGAGGTACAGAGCTCAGGTTTTCAAATAAATAAATGAATAAACAAAGCAGGTCAGTGATACTCCCCCCCCCAGCGTGTGCCACGGACCCTGGGACACTGGTTTGCTGGGTGGGGGGTGGAAACCTGGAGGGAGGGAGGGAGGGAGGGAATCCAGGAGGGATGCCCGGAGCAGGCCCGCCCTCTGCGCAGGTGTCCCTTGCAGGTCCCACTTGTAGACTTCTTGCCGTATGTAGCATTTATCCTTGACTTTTCTATATGATGTGTGCATTTTTTAAACACAGGATGTCTCTGGGCAGGCCACAAAATAGATCCATAAATTTAATTCGGGTGGCTAGCGGAGAGCCTTTGGTTTACTTCACCACGGGGTGCCATTAAAGAAACAGGGCACAAGCCAGAGGGAAACGCCCCTTTCTCCATGCAAAAGGCCGTTTCTGCTGCCGGGATGCGGCGCTGGTGGTGTGGCTTGCAGGGAGTTATACAAGACGCGTACAGCCCCTTGCTGTAAAAACGCCTGTGTGCATCAGCACAAAAGAGGGGGGTTGCCCCTCCGGACTGAGAGAAGGGGTGGCCCGCACGCAGAGTCATGGCCGGCTTGTGCCGGGTGAACGTCCTGTACATCACGGACGCAGGAGCCAAAAGCCGTCTGCGCAGGACCTTTTCCAGCCTTGTTTTCGAAGCAGGCTGTGATCTGTATTTTTTAACACCCAGGGAAATGTGCGTGAATTGCAGGAGGAATTGGCACAGACTTTTGATGAGCTTTGCACAGATTTTACAAAGCTGCTTCAAGGGTGGAGACCGGCTGCTGGCTTGACTCGCGTCAGGGCAGGCCTGTTCCAGCACTGGGTCGATGGCCTTCCTGTGGGACTTTGACCCCCTCCCGCCCCCTGGTCCGAAGAGTTTGTTCCCTTGCGAGAAACAAAAGTGGGCTTCCACGTGCTTGTCCCCGTGACCCAGACAACCGATGCGGGGCTTGTCTCGCCATGCGGGGAAAAGTCACCACGAGGTGGTTTCTGAGCACACCAGTCTGCATGGAGAATGCGCAGCAGCCGCAACCTCCCTTGCCTGCAGTGTTCCCAAGGGAAACTAGCAGCCCAGCCTGGCTGAGGATGATGAGTCCTGTATTCCACCGGGGATGAGGCTAGTCTGGCTTAAGTCTGCCCCACCTTCATCAAGGGCCACATCCTGTAATGTCATTCATTAACTAGGCTTGGCACAGCGCTGGAGGTGTTTGGTCCCTGTTGGCTGTGTTGGTTACCGTGCGTCAATGCTGCAGAGATGGTTCTTTAAGAAGTGTCCACATTTCATTTTCTGTTCCCCCCACTTAATTTGCAAATCTCCGTGTGCGATCGGCCTGCTTCTTTCTCTTTCCCCCTTTCTTTCTTCTTCTTTTTGCAAGCGAGAGAGAGGAGAAATGAGTGCTCCCATTGGTAGCGTTCCAAAAGCTCAGGTTTGTTTTGCCTGCCCCCAGCTGGGTACTTTACAGCTCACAACTAATCTTTATAATAGTTTACTTCAGACTGAATGGGATTTAGTGCCGCAAACCGTCTGTTAAAATAAATAACAGGATATGCTAGCAGAAAAAGGCTACAGCCAGCCATAGATTACGCTTGTTGAGGCGAAGTCCTGGGTGGAAGGAGAGATTTGCCTTCCCTTTCCTTCCTGGAGTTCCACAGTTGTGGCAAGCGCAGGATTGCTGCTCCGGCATTCGTCCTGCTGGAGTGGAGCTTTGATAAATGAGCATCTCCCCGCCTGCCTCACTTCCACAGGCACCGAGGGCCTCTGGTTGTCGGAGTCGGGCTGTTTCCTGGTGCTCCCAAACCAGGGTTGCTCCCACCTGCTCCTCATTCGGCGTGTGCTCCATGCATGCTCCTGGTGCGATTAACTGGCACCGCTAGTGGGCTCCGTAGAAGGGCAGCGCAGCCGTCCGTCAGCCTTCCAAGGCAACAGGAGCTACGTTCAGCCCGAACCTCCAGCGGCGATCTCGCACCTCCACCTTTCGCCGCGTTCGGGCACCGTTTGCATTCCCGCAGCAGCACCCCACTCTAAGGGAGCTGCAAGCCAGCAGTCCAGGGATCCGCAACTGTTTTGGGTCAGTGGAGGGAGGCTGCCGTGGGCACCACCACAAAATGGCTGCTGTGGAGGGTGTGGCTGGTCTGTTGATGGCTACATTGGGGGTGGCTGGGCTAGGGGTGGTGGGGGAAGAGTGAGGCTGGGGGCTAAGAAGAGGGGGAAATGGCCAGGGATGGGGAAGGGAGAAGAGGGCAAGGAAAGCGGTTGCGGGAGAGAAAGAACCAGACTAGGTTGCTAGCAGTTGCTAGGAAGTTTTGGCTTCCTGTGTATTCATCGCTGTGGATGCACATTCATTCATGCACAAAGAAACCTTTAAAAACAAGGTTGGTCAGTGCCTGTGGCAATGGGGGGACCCCTGCAGTCGAGAGTCCTGCGAAACAGATGTGGGCCAGCAAGTGAAAGGGCACCATCACAGCTCTGCATTTTTAACCTGTTCTAGAATAAATGCATCCAATGAATAAAATGTACTTACTGCATATATCGGTGTTCTGTATCTGTAAAAAATCCCAAGCAGCAAACAGTGAAGGAATGAAGAATCACTGTGCAAAAGAATAAAAATGTTCAGAATGAACTTCTACCAATAAGGCTATGGCTGAGCCTTCAAAAAGCTTGTTTACGAGTAAATAAAGACATTTGCATCTGCTGAGCGCAAAGCAACTTTGGTGCCTGCTGCATGCCAGGAGGCGGGGATTTCTAGAGGTTAGGGTGCACTGAGAGCCCTACTCTGAGTAGACTCTAAACAGAGGCCAGGTCCATGTGGAGCCTCCAGGAATGCGTCTTGCAGTGAGCTCAGTGCCCGGGCAGGCTGATCATCGAGAAGGCTCACTGCCAGAGATCCTAGTCCCAAGTTTGTCGGGGCTTTATGCACCAATGAAAAAGCCCTACACCTGGCCAGGTAGCACATAGGCGGGTGCCACTGTTCCCTCAATAGAGGCACCAGGTCCTGAAAAGCGGCAGCTGTGGGAAGCAGGTTCCCAGAGCGCCGGCAAGGCAGGGCCTTCTTTGCGGTGGCTCCCAGTTGCAGAATGGCCTCCTCCCCGATGCCTCCCTGGGGCCTGCAGCCTCCTTTCCCACACCAGCCGAGACCACCCTGCACTCACGGGCTTTTGAATGCCGCAGGATGAGACGCTTATGCCAGCCACCTTTAAAGGTGGCGTGGATTTTTATGGCATGTGAGACGCTCGCTGTGTAAATTTTGTATGTTAAAATTTTATGTGGCATTTTAAAAATCCACATTGGTGCTTTGTAGTTTTATGAGTCCTTGCCCAGAGAGGTTTGGCTGTTGAGCAGCACAGAAATAAATGAAAGGAAGGAAAAGAACAATCAGGCCACCGGGTTCTGCGTTGGCTGCAGCGCATCGGCCGGCTCTGAGGGCAGTCTCGCTGCAGTTGGGGTGCCCGCAGGGGGCAAAGGGGCGGCTTCAGTGACCGTGTCATGTGCCAGCAGGCCCAGTCCCTGCCAGATCTCTCAAGAAATGGACAAGGGATCAGCCGGAGGGAAATGATCTCAGCTTCGAACTCTGGAGCACTGTGCCCAGGCAGGTCGACGTGTCCTTTACTTCCCTGCAACTGGCTGGGAGGAAGTGCTCCTTGCAAGACACGCACCACCGAAGCGATCGGCCCCTGCTGGGTCTGCTGCCTCAGAGCAAACAAACAGCAAAACAGAGAAAACAGACAGCAAAGGTCTGTGTTCGCCCTGGCTTTCCGTCGGTGTGTTTTTGCGCGCACCGGAATCAGAGTTGCGATGGTCCTTCAGCAGCACCCAGTGGCCGAGCGCAGCGCTGAAGTGCACCACTGGAGGTCGGTTGGAGCAGGGTCTGCAACTCCCATCAGCCTTAGGCCGTGGCCAGAGGTGTTGGGAGGTGTTGCCCAAGGAGCTGGAGAACCACAAAGTGTCCCGTTTCAATCTTATTCAATCCCCTGCGTTCAAATTCGGCACGGCTGCAAGCCATGGAAAAGCTGCTGCTTGGTTTGCAGGTGTCCCGGCGCTTCCCGTTGTGGTTGAGGCTGGCTTTGTGAGCCACACATTCCATGTTTTCCTTCTCTGCTTTTTCCAGGGAACTCATCGCCAAACTGAGGGCCCACAGTGGCTTCTACAGCAGCTTGCCAGAGCATATCTGCAGTCACACTTCCGCTGTGCAAAACAACACCCTTTGTTGGAATGGCCAAGAAGTTGTGGAAAGGTGAGACGCTTCTAGTCCTTCCCCTTCCTCGTCCTGCAGTGATGCCACTGTTCCCTTTGCTTTCCCTCCGCGTGCCTCCATCTTGAGACTCATGGGAGCCTCGGGTGGTGCTGTCTTTCTCAGGAGAACTCTTGGTCAGACTCCGGACACTTGCACAAAAGTATTTCCAAACACTGTGATAGCCATGAAAGAAAAAATAAATGGAAACAATCTGTATGTAAGAAGCATCTTCAGTAGCAGTAGAAACCAGCCAGAGGCAGAAAGGGGAGAGAGGAAAAAATTTCAGTTGTCTGTGCAAGAAACTGCTTGGCCGGCCAGTCTGGGCAGAACATTCCATCAGGTGGGTGCTCTCAAACCTTGCGTGGAAGAAAGTGCCATGGCTCCTATTTCTGGCTCTGGGCTGGGAAAGAAAGCCTGAAGGAAAGCATATTTCACGAGCTAGTCCGGCTGTTTGGGGGCTTACCGGGAATTCTGCAGCATGCGTGCAGATGAGCAAGTAGAAACATAGAAACAGAGCAGGTCAGAAGGGGTCTCCTGGGCCATCTAGTTTAACCCCAGCTCCAGCCGGCTCCACTCACGACATGCCTATCATGCACCTGTCCAGCCTGTCCTTGACCACCCTCACTGGTGGGGCCTCGACCGCCTCCTGTGGAAGCCCCTTCCATGCCCTCAGGGTCCTGACTGTCAGGAAGTGCTTCCTGGCATCCACCTGGAATCTTGGTTCCCTGAGCTTTGCTACCAGGGAGCCAAGTAGTCTTGGTTAAGCATTGGGGTCCCAGGCAGTCTGGAGAAAAGTATAGCTAAAGGAGCATTCTGCTGATTGAGTTTTGCTGAGGCTCCAGACCGAGAAGCCTCTGCTCTGCGCTCTCGTCCGTCTTCTGTTGCTGCCACCTGGCCTGAGGGACTTGGGCTGCAGGTGCTGTGAACGCAAAGGTGTTGTGCAGCTCTCTGTTCCTCGCCTTGTGTGGCAGGATGACGGTGGGAGAAGTTGTGGGGAAACATGGGAGAGACATCAGCCAGGTTTGCTTGGCACAGCGCCCCACGGGCAAGCCCTGATTGGTGGGTTGATCACTTTTCTATACCTTCCAACAGCCAAAAACGGCTCGCAGAACATTTTACGGCCAGGATAGATTGCGGTGTTGTCCGTATGCAGAGCATATTCCTGGGGTGGCTTATCTTTTAGGCCTGAGCCATGCCGAGAATGCAGAATTTGCAGGGTTGTTTGTGCTTGTTATGGGTTGTCATTTTGTCGGAACGAAGATGTGTTGCAGCAGTTCTCTGCAGGGTTTCTGTAAGTGCCACTTTGTCCACTAGTTCTTCCCCGTTGGTTAGGATCAAGTCAAGGATAGCAGTTCCTTCCCCCACTTTCCGTTGGAGGGAGTTATCCGCCATGCATGCTAGGAGTCTCTTGGAGGGGCCGTGCTGGGCAGAATTTGTCTCCCAGCAGATGTCGGGAAAATTGAAAGCCTTCAGAACGACAACAATTGGCAATTGGGCAATTTGCTTTGCAAAAGTTTTCCTCCTCCTCTTCTCCTTGACTAGGTGCTCGGTAATAGGCTCCAACCACCATGCTCCTTTTGTTCCTCGCTCCATTTATGTTAATCCAGGTGCTCTCAGTGGGGCCCTCAAGCTCATTCTCCTGCATTTCTGCACAGAGAGGCATCTTTAACGTATCATGGGGCTCCACCTCCCTTCCTGTGCCTTCTGTTCTTCTGGAACAGGTTGTATCCTCCAGTCGCTGAATCCCGTTCATGGGAGTCGTCCCACGCAGGTCCAGGTCTGGCTATCAGGTCGTATTCACCCTCCTGAGTTCAAGTCCGCGCTGCTTGTTTCCCAGCTCTGGGCACTCGTGCATAGACCCCGAAGACACTCAGGACTTCTGCTCCCTCTGTTGTGGTGCACAAGTCTTTCTCTCTCCTTACACCCCGGCATATGTCTCCCTCCACTGAAGGATTCAGCTTAAAGCCCTCCTGATGAACCCCTTCGTGCTGTGGCCAAGCACCTTCTTTCCAGTCCTTGTAACATGCACACCAGCAGCCCACCTTCCAGGAAGGGTGGCCCGTGGTCCCAGAATCCAAGCCCACAAAGCTGGTATTTCAGTCCCATGTGGTGCAAATTAAGAACCGGAAGCCCATGTGCCACAGGTTGTGTCTCAGCTTGGAGTTCTGTGGCCCGGGATCTGTTCTCTCCCTAGCCCACCACATACAAGCCCCTTTTTACCTTTGCCATTTCCCCAGTTTGTTTTATAGCCTCCGGCTTGCGTTGCCAAAGGCTGAATGAAGGCAGCTGATGGTTGAAAGGGCCTCGAGAGAGACTGAGCTTCTGCTGGTGTCTGTTGGCACCTTTCTTTGGTTTTGCTGTGCTCAGCCAGATTTTGAACGGTCCCTAGCTCAGCTAGCTGGATCTAAGGTTGCACGTTTTATCTTTGCATAATGTTGAAGTACGGCATTCCAAAGGAAGCTGCTGTCTGGTTCACTTCTCTGTAGGGTACTGAGGGCCATAGCAGGGAAATGGCAGAATTGTTCAAGAAATCCTTCTGGAAGCATTAAAACAAACTGGAACATGTGCACCAACAGCTGTCCTACGAAGTGCTGGCGGTCGTATTTAGAGTGCTGCAACCCGCAATTGCCACCTCTCCATGCAAAGGCTATTAGTCTTGGGAAATTCTTTTCTAATTGAAGGATTTCACACAGTGTCAGGATTTTCCCAGCTCTTACATCTCAAATCCTATTACATGTTCAGATTCAAAAGTTTTCTAAGCTGCTTTGGGATGGTTTATTCTTTAAGTCTCTTCTGAATAAGATGATAGATGTGACTTTTGTTGGGAAAAAAACCTTCAGAGGCTGTTCTCATAATTCTTCTGCACCTGCTTCCAAATGTGGGGACATAATTTTGTTTAAACTCCCCCTTTCTGTCCATGTATTCCTCCATTCCTTAAAAGATTTCAGGAAGGTCCATCACTCGCTCTCCTTGCTTCTGGAGGGGAAGTGGCTCCTAGGTTTCTCTGAGGCACCTGCCCTGCCTTAATTTACTTGTTTGGCAAGGATTTGGTTGTCTCTTTATAAGTTCTGTATTGCAAATATTTTCACACATGTACGCTGCCAAAACTGATCATGACCACCAGGAGCACAGGGAAAACGGCCTGTTGAGACAATCGGCCTGAGGGCATTCCCCTGCCCCCCCCCCGCCCCCAGAACAGAGGCAGAATTAAAAACCATGCAAACCAAAGGATGAGACTGTCCAGGAGAATGGAAAGGTCTTCACCTGCTACTGGAAAGGTTGCAACCAGGTGAGCCTCTCTGCAGCTGTGGAAAATGCGGGTGCTGGTGCTCGCCCCTGCGAAAGGCAGGTCCCAGGCGTGAGGCTGCCTCACTGGCAAGACACTGTCCGGGCCACCAGATGGCGCCAAGGGACCAGTTATTTGGAAGTGGCGCTTTCCCTCCTGGCTCTCCCAGGTGGTGCCTCTCAAAGGTCTTGAGCCTTTGCAGGGATGGCCCTCCTGCACAGGGGCATCTTTCTGGGTTTCCCATGCAGTTTTCCGTGGTGCTGCTTAGAGATGCTCGGGGCTGCACAGACTCCGGCCTCCCAGGATACGTCCAGGGCGGCGCGGAGGCTGGACGTGAAGGCAGTGGCAGCTCTCCACCCACACGCCCCAGAACCACTGCAGAGAAGCCTGTGGGGCTGCGAGCAGCATGTGGGCACCAGGATGTCTAGGCACGCAGGGGCTTTTCCTCGCTGAATTGTCCAACCCCCTCTTAAAGCCCTCCCAGCCGGGGACCCCCTCGTGGAGGGGAGGGCCAGAGCTGGCCTCCGGGCTGCCTGGAGAAGCCCCTCATGGATCTGCCCTGGCTTTCCCACCGACCTGCCTTTGGGTCCCGGCAGTTTGAGGCAGGGAGAATGGGGGCGTGCCTTGGCCCGTCCCTCCAGGAGGGGCCTTCTGCAGACGAGCACGGCCCGCCTCCGTGCACCTCCGTCGCTAGCAGTGCGTCATGGGGCAACAGCCATGCCTGCCTCCCCTGAGGCTGAGAAGCTCCCCTGCTCAGGGCCCCGCTGGGCCTCCTGGCTGTTCCCAGAGGCTGCCTGCCCGCCTGGCGGCCTGGCCTTGAGACAGGCGCCTCCGCTGCTCTCATCTCAGCATCATGGGCTGGCCCGCATCGCATTCCCAGGCTCCCCGCAGTTCTGCTCCCCAGTCCCGTTCCCATTCTGCTGCAGTCCGGCCAGCAGTCCTTGTGCACAAGCTTCCCGGGCGGCCATCTCCCTCGCTCCCGACACAGGTGTGCTGGAGCTGGCAGCTTGATCCACGTGATTCCCGGAGCGGTTTCCCACTGTCCTTGCCTACCATCTCGCCGCTGCAGGTACAGCCGCCAGGCCGCGAGAAATGGTGGGAGAGCCCACGCGGGGACCCACGAGGCCAAGGGGAAGGGCCCCGAGCCCGTGATCAGCCAGATTATCGACAAGCTGAAGCACATCAATCAGGTGAGCCTTCGTCTGCTCCGTTCGGTTCTGGAAATGGGATGCGGGAAGATGAGTGGAGACCGTTCGGCCACCCCACCAGGCAAAGCCCTGCCTGCAGGCCGTGGGAGGGGGCCAAGGGGTGCAGCTTTCCCAGGGCCCCTCCAGGCCTGGAGTGGTGCTGCTCAGATCCGTCGCTAACACCCCAGCCGCAGGGCAAGCCGCATGTTGAAAGCAGCAAATGTCTGGGGCAAAATGCAGGAAGCCACTGCAGATCTCTTTGGGTGCTTCCAGAGGGACGGCTCCAAACGCAACTGCCGTTTGAATGGCGCTGTGCAGCCGCTCGGTCTTTCTGCCAGAACAGACTTCTTTGTGGGAAGAAAAGAAGATGTGGGGAAAGCAAGATGGAAGGAAACGGAAGACGTGGCGTCTGGGCCCCACATCGACTTCACTGGGCAGCCCGTGCAGTTGCATGATACAAGTTTGGTTGGAGGAGCGCTCGGCTAGACAGGAAGGGCCTGGGTGTTTCCAGCTTTTACGGCTGCGGGCTTGGTCAGGGCCTTCTGCAGTGTGCCTGCCGGTCACTGAGCTGAGCCCTTTCCAGGACGCTCCATTCCATACGCTGGCAGGCACACTTCCTTGGAATACCTTGGACTAAAGCTGGCGTAGAAATATTTTTGAGGAGAATGCATGTGTAAGATCTTGCTCTCCTCTGATGGGAAATCGGGGCACCTGCCGCGAAAGACAACCAGTGGAGCAAACCTGACAGATGCGAAGGCTGCGTTGCGCTCCCCTCAGACCCTCCAGTGGAAGCGCTGAAATGGCCTCGGGCCCCTGAGCAGCTTCCCCGACCTGGTGTCCACCGCCTCGTTTGCACTACAGCTCTGTTTCCTGACCACTCAGCGTGCAAGCGGGGGCTCTCGGAAAGCGAAGTGCAAAATGTCTGGGAGCACAGGTTTGCAGGTCTCGAACTCCCCCCCGCCGTCTGCAATCAAGTTCTGTTTGGGGAGGTAAAGCAAAGGAGATTGGGAAATGGGGCATGGAAGAAAGAGGGCAGACAGCAAACCTGGCTGACTTGGAACTGTACCTGTTGCCAAATAATTATATTATGGAGCACAGCAAAATGTACTTTAAACAATTAGATGATTAAGTTCCAGACCCTACTTCTTAAAAAGTGGCAATGCATTAATTACAAATGTAGTTGCATTCCTTAATTACTTGCCTTGCAGAAAATAATTATAACGTTCCAGGATATGCAAGGGGGAGTGGGGTTACATCTTTATTCATTTTCAGAGTTGGAAGGGAGATCATGGGGAAAGTGAGCAGAGCGAGGGAGAAGGGAAGTAGGATTAAGCACGAAAGTTTGTGAGCAAATGCTGCCAAATGTGCCGTTTCCACAGTTTGCAAAGCATGGGTCACTTTAAGCCTGGAAGCCTGGAAAAGCAATTGAAATGGCCAGGAAAGGCTATTAACAGGGTGAAGAGGTCTTGGAAGGGAAATAGTGCTCACCCAGAGGTTAGACTAGCTGATGTTTGGAAATATTTCATGTTTATCCTATCTTGACAGATCTTTGGGATGTATAACACCATTTGCTGTATCAGCCCTGCAGTTTTGCTTTTGTTTTTGTCTCCCTGCGCCCCACAAATAATTGTGTGTTCTTCAGCCAGCAAGTGAGCAGCCGCCAGTGCTCTTGGGAGGGGGAAGAGCCTGCGTGGGAATGAGAAGGCCGGACTTGCGCTGGAGCAAGCGCGGGGTGGCCACTGAGGCGGGGCGGAGTCCAAGCCCGGTAGCACCTTCGGGACTAAGTAGTTTTATTCGCGGTGCAGACGTTTTCACTTCGGGAGCCGGAGGGGCAGAGAGGCGCAGTCCTCGCTGCCTTATTTTTAGCAGTCACAGCGCGCCTCTTGCGAACTTTGCAGCAGGGCCATCAGTTCTCTTTCAGCACTTTCCATTTCAGAGAAACTGGAGGGAGGGCGCATTCCATCAAACAGGCGGGGGAACAGCCTGGGGCGTGGATAAAGGTAGGCTTGGCGGCTGAAGGCAGCAAGGACGGGGCCTTCTTGGTGGTGACCCCTGATTCTGTTCTGCCTGTCATCCTCTTGTGCTCCCCCAAGTTGGTGTTCTCCTAACCATTGGCCTTGCTGGCTGAGACTGATGGGATTTGACGTCTACATATCTGGAGGTCCCTAGGGTGGGGATCCTGTGCTAAACTGACTGGCAGTCGGGGAGTTCATGAAATGAAGGAATGAAACGGTTCTGATGAGCCCTTTAGAGGAAGCCGGTGTTTTCGTTTCTGTGCAACAGCCGCGTGTAATGGAGATGACAGTCTGATCCGCCAGTTTCAGCCCAGCTTTTCTAGAGCACTTCCTCTGCTTTATTTTTGAACGAGGAGAGTTTGGTGTTGCATTGCCCCAGGGACCATGGCAGCTTTTCTCCTGGCCCGTCTGGCTGGGCTGCTGCAGCGAGGCCGGACCTGGAGGCCGGGTGGCAGAGGAGCTGGGGCCGATCACGCCGCACTGGTAGCTCGGATCTCAGTGCTGCTGCGAAACCGAAAGGAGGTACAGCAGGGCGGCGGGGGGCTCCTAACGAGGTGCTGGGCAAGCAAGCATTGGGCCTGCCTCTTTTATTTATTTATTTGTTTTTATTTATTTATTAAAACATTTTTATGCCGCCCCATTCGCCGAAGCCTTGGGGCGGCTTACAACAATAAATAAAACCACATAAATTAAAATATACATATAGAATAATAATATTAATTTAAAACACACAATATAAAATAAGCCGCCCTGGCCAGATAAAATTCAGTAGTATTAACATTTAAAATGTTGCTTAAATAAAAAGGTCTTTGCCTGGTGCCGAAAAACAAATAACGACGGCGCCAGGCGGACCTCTCTGGGGAGCGCATTCCATAACTTAGGCGCCACCGCTGAGAAAGCCCTCCTCCAAGTAGCCACCCTCCTAATTTCTCTCATGGGGGGCTCCCGGAGAAGGCCCTCTCCCGCCGATCTCAGGGGGCGACTGGACATATATGGATGTAAGTGCTCCTTCAGGCATGACAAGCCAAACCCTGAAGATGCGTGCGGTTCCGACCCAGCCCCCCCCCCCCCATGTTTTCTTTTATTCCTCTTGCAGGCTGTCTAAGCTGGGCGGTAAATGTTTCTCTTTCTGCCATGATGAGGCGTCTGTCGCCTTTTTTTACCCTTTGGGTTGCCCCTCATGCCTCAGGACAGCCAAAGACCAGCAGCATTCCCGTTTCCCACTTGGGAGTTTTCCTGCGTGCACCATTGCAATGCGGAGTCCCACAGACTCTCACTCCATATGGACGGAGCAACGGCTACGGCACAGTGAGAGTGTTAGATCAGGAGACGTGCGGCAGACTCCAGCTGCTACGCATAATTAAATCAGAACATATCGTGCCTTTAATTGCAGAAGGTCACCCCATTCTCTATGACATTTCTTGCTTCTTACCCTCTCCTCTGCAGCATTCCCCGGCTGTCTGTTCTCTTGCAGAAGGAATGCTATCAGAATAAGAGCAGGGGGGTTGGTACGGCTGTTCCATGAGAGCTTGAAAGGAGAGCCTCACCCACCGGGGCTCAGCATCTTGCAAACCCCTGCATTTATTTTAAAACCAAAAGCAAGTTTCTAGACCCTTGTGTCCACTGAGATGTCTTGCAGTGCCAGTGGTACTCTCAGAAGCTGGAGTGGCAGTGATCAGGTCGGGCTTCTGGAAGAGGGAAGGACTCCAGTGCTCTGCAAATGCTTCCTTGTCCCCAGGAATTATGCAGGAGTATTTCGTCTGCACAGCGCAATGGTGGGCATGTCATGAGTGGAGCTGGCTGGACCTGGGGTCAGACTAGATGGCCCAGGAGGCCTCTTCTGACTCGCTCTGTTTCTATGTTTCTAGCTGCTTGTTGAAAAGGAAGCCGTTTATGGGCAGCCTGGAGCAGCCGTCAGTGGCCTGCTGAAATGCAAACTGTGAACTGCACCGGACACCCGGTTAGCACTCCATCCTCGCTTAGCACCTGTCATCCTGGTGCCACGCAGGTGCCTTCCACCACAAGCAGAAATGATGCTAATTTCTAGCCATTAACTTAGGGGGGAAAACACGGCTAGAATCTTCAGAGAAGGAATTGCAGGGCGGGGTTCTTTGGGGTGCACCTGAGGGCCAGCTTGCATTTCCAGGAGGCGCCTACCCCCACGGTTCCACAGTTCCAAGATTCTGTGTTGTTCCTCCACAGAGGTGGCTACAGCACCCCAGTTGGCCTTAATTTCGGGCAGATGGATGCCCAGGTGGCCCCCCTCCCCTTCTGAGACCAGAACGGAGGGCCCCCCTTTGCCGTGAGGCTTTGACCTGGCAAAAGGAAGAGCTTCTCCCCACCAGCGCATCATTCTTGGAACACTGGGCAGCCCGCAAGTTAGTCATAGAACTGCAGCATGATTCTGCAAAGCGGGAAGCAGCCGGGCATGCAGTTCTTGGAAGAGATTTAGAGTCTAGCGGATGCAGGAAGGAGCGATTTCTGCTTTTAGATCCTGAGCCAGTCCTTTGGGGTTTCCTTTCCCTTCCAATCGGAGTGCAAAGCTGCAGGGTCCGTTCCTCCAGGAGTATTCCAGGTGCTGCTGGGAGCAGATCAGGCAGCCATTTGTGTGAACAGCTGAGAGAATTAATCCTGGAAGCGGTGATGAGCCCTCACTTCTCTCACGTGCATCCTGTGACCAGTGGCCACGTGTGTGTTGCCTTGTGGGAAGCAAGGCTGCAGCATTTGAATGAAAAAGCAAGGCGGATAAAAATAATCCTCTTGGCAAACGTGCCGGTACGAAGTTTGCTGAACCAGCCGACTCTCGCGGGGGCGAGGTGGGGAGTGGCAGGCGGGCCAGGCATCCATGGCGCTCCATCCTGAGGGCTGAAATTGGTGAGAGATTGGGAACAGTCAGCAAAGTTCTCCCATCTGCACAACCAAAGCGGGTCAGCAGTGGAAACTGAGCAAATATTTACGGGCTGCAGGTCCGCGGCGGCTCAGGCCGGT